TCCTCCCCCCCCCCCCCCCCCCCCCCCCCCCCCCGACACAGAGAGAGAGAGAGAGAGAGAGAGAGAGAGAGAGAGAGAGAGAGAGAGAGACTTTGTTATAGTCTAACTTATTCTTTACTTATCGTGTCTGGGCTCTGGGTTACAGTAGGTGAAACACTCTTTAAGGGGAACGCAGCTGAGAGTTTTTTTTTTTTTTTTTTTTTTTTGCCTTTAGACGCCTAGACGCTCTCATATGGGGACATCTTTTTAAAAACTACAATGCTTTGTATGTGTATATGCACTTTACTCCATTGACAGAATGCTGCTTGCAATATAGAGATGCCATTTCATTTCGGAACGGTTTACCATTATACTGGAAGGTCACAGGACTATCAGACCATGCTCTTTTCTTAGAAGAAACGAAAGAATACCTCGGCACTAACGCCCTAACTCCTGTCTTTTATTTAGTAACGCAGACCTTTTTATCTGGCTCCTATTGAGGAAAAAGAGGAAATAAAAAGACAGAGCGATTATGATAGAGGATAGAGTCATTGTGCGTCTTTCATGCACGTTGATTCTTTCCTCAGGCTGATGATAAAGTCACGCAAGTGCATTAATTTTATAAGCGCGTAAAAAATGCCAACAAAACACACTGCATTCCATACATTTGTTTGAAATTGTATGTATGTATGTAAAATATAAGAGTAGGCCTACCACACAGTAACGATGTGCCCACATGTATTAACTTACGACAAACATTTCTTCAGAAAGAAATATGATATTATCCCATGAGAAGTATAAGCAAAATAGCAAAAAAAATTGTAACCAAATCCCCATCAAAGAAGAACTAGGAAACGCCCAGTAAGTAAAGGTGTACAATCTGTATAACAAACGGTCCTTTTACTTTCCTTTAGTGTTCTCAGACTATGGGTTTGGAAAGCTGAGATGCATGAATGACCAATGTAAATACTACAGGGGCGCGTTTAAGGTCAGGGCATGGGCAGGCCAAGTATTAATACTGCGAGCGCAGTTTAATACGCGTAGGATACGAACCAACAAGGAAGAAAACCCACAAGGGATTGAATATTAGGGTCATTTTATTATTTTCTTGTATTTGTCGGATTCTGGGGCGTCCGTTCAATGCACATATATTTGGATAATCAAACAAATCATTTGATGAATAAAGATTAAATATATAAACCATAATGATAAAAATTAAAATAACAGCGACAATAATGATAATTTTGTTTCACTGCTAGGAAAGTGTATGAGTCCACACAGCAGGCTTTATACCTGCCAACTCTACACCAATCACTGGAAAAATCTTTACTCCGAAGAAAATCATGAAAATAAGAAATTTTACATTAGTGTCGTTTTCCTATTTTAGGTTACATTGTTGTGGGATCTAAAACCGCATATATATACCATAATTAAACACCCTAAGCTGAATAAAGAAAGACGAATGTAAATCAACAATGGGGAAAAGCGTCTATTTTTTATGAAGAAATAAAAAGAGAAGAAAGACTGAATGAAACTATCACTGCAATCTATTGATTTTTGTTTCATTTTTCTCTCCCAGCAGATACCGCTTTATCACTCTCTATTCTGTGCTTTTTTATTTTTAGTTCATTTATTTATATATTTTTTCTGAAGGTCACGTTAAAATTTTAAGAGATTTTTGGCAAACAAGGGCATAACATCATATTGTAGGAGTGATTCATGATGTTGTTTGTCAACAAGACGGTGTTTAAAAAGTACCGCAAAGCTTCTGAAAAATCGTAGCAAAGATTTAAAGATCACATGTGTTCATCGCAGCCAAACTCCTGTTTACCTTTCTATGCCAAATTACACGGTGAAGGCACATTAAATCTTGCTAGTATTCGTAATGCAATAAGATAAGAATTTTTGACAGACGCAGTATTCATAGCTACATTGGTTACTTATGAAGCACAATTGGGTCATGACTCCATTCAGACGGAGGTTAAAGAATAGTATGGGATTCCTTTATGATATGCCAAGTAAGAAATGACTTTTGAATCCGATTCGGGACATGGAGCGTGTAACACTGCATAACACACTACAATGATCACTAGGGCCGATACACCGGTAGGCCTATAGATTTCTGGACTCAGACTTTGTCGCCTATAACCTGCTTATTATATATTTTATTATCATTTTTAGAGGACAATATTTTCATCACTTTCCATTCAGAGCTCTTCGTTCCTACTTACTATGACGAATTATATCAGAGGAATGTTATTCTTTCAGTGGCATCAAAATGAGTAAATACTTATACAATGTTACACTGGTATACATATATAATATATCAATACCCTTGGGCCCATATATCCCTGCAATTGAATGGGTAATTGGGAGGACCTGAAAAAATATCTGGTTTCCTTTGCTTTAAGCTGAGGTTGAATTTCTACAGCTGGGTCTGAGACTGAACCAAAGCAATGAACCGAACTAAGCACCGACTTCGGCCTCTGGCCCCTTTCACGTAGAGCGGTTCATTTTTTTGTGCCTCTCCAGTTTGAAAGATTGACAACTTAACTGTCTGGCTATTAACTAGTGTAACCAATATACTAGTAGTCACCTTACCGGAGCCTGCCCCCCCCCCCCCCTTCCAAGCTCGACACGGCCAGTTAACCGGATGGAATTTAATTGGTACATTTGTAATTGTGAAAGGGAGTTAAACCCTCTTAACGAAATTACATGTTCCTGCTAAAGGGCAGTCAAAGTACATGTAGTGTGGTTTAGAGCATTGCACCGCTCCTAGTGAAAATGGCCGTAATTTTTGGTAAGAATAACTAGGACCCTTTTTTTGTCTTTTCGGGTCACGATGCCACAGATAGATTTTTTAGACGAGCGCAAACACTGCCAGCTGTGAAAATGACCTTAATTTGGCTTATTTATCGGTGGAAATCATTTCTCATGTAGTGATCCCCTCCACCCCCCCCCCACCCCCCAATAAACTTTTAAGACGACAAAATTCCCACGCTTTTCATTCAGAACTCTCCTCTCCTACTTTTCCTTTATAACTACAACAGAGGAATGTTCACCTTTCATTTGTCACAGAGTATGTCAACACGCGTACAATATGTAAATAGCAATACAATAGCCATTCGCCCGGACTCGCCGCCCGCCACTGAAAGGGTAGTTGGGAGGAGCTAAAAAATACCTGGCTGCCTTTGCTTGGAGCTTTGTGTTCGCCACAAAGGCCTGAAATCCTATAGCTGGGTGTAAACTGAATCAATGAACTAAGTCCTTAGGCGAACTGAAATGTATTTCTCTGTAAGTGTCATTACAGAGATACTTGATATATATATATATATATATATATATATATATATATATATATATATATATATATATATGCAACCCATTATTTTTTATCGTGATTCTTCTGGCGATGTGGCGAGACGGGGGTGGGGGTAAGGTGGGGTTTTCTCGTTCCCTTTCTATTAAGTATGCGGCAGTTTCATAAATATTGCAAAAATTAAACATACCAAATGAAAGATAAAAGTGTTTCATATGACTAGTTTACGTGTTATCATAAAAGTAGGGAAAGTTTCTATGGTGTTATATGAAGTGGTATAAGTCGCGAATGACTGTCTCTTTCCCCTCTTTTATTAATGAAAAAGGAGAAAAAGAGTGATAGAATAAGATGTTGACTTCGATCAAATGAGTCACAAAAACATTCATCTGCCTAGTGAACGGGGTTGTGATCAAGAAAAAAAGTGAACAAAAGTCGGACGAACAGTGACGTCAGAATCAGGGGGGATGTCAAACAATTCATGGCCTCGTCGTCCTGATACCGTCACCGCGTTTAGGTTTTACAAATGTACTTGACCTGAGCGGAACAGATAGAGCACCAGACCGTTAGACCAGTTACTCTCTCTCTCTCTCTCTCTATCTCTCTCTCTCTGCCTGCCAATGGTGCTAGCCTGCTTGCTGGATTTATGTGCATGTGTTCTATATGCAAAAAAAGGCCCCGTTTAAATTTCGGATAACAATTGACTGGCATTATAGGTACGTCTATAAAGCATGTTGATAATATTGACTCTAGGCATATTTATTTATATAGAAATACCGTGCCCCGTTCGAGTTAAGGAAAGGAGAAGGAAGGGTCAGAAATATCTGCAAGACTTCAAAAACGCATAGTGTTTTTATACTTGAATTATTGTTTAAGAAAAGTGAAGATAAACAAATTTAGGAAAGAAACAAAGTAAGAGCAGATTCCTATTGAGGCATAAGTATCAAATGTCACTTCTCTGTATGGAGAGGGTTACGGTCGGTAAGATTGCGTTTGGTGCGCCAAATATCAAATGCCACAATCTCGAGAATGCTAGCGGAGGGATAGAAAATTCATCCATTTTATCTATTTTTACATTTATTTTAAATAATTTTAAGGTTATTAATGCTAGTTTTGTACCTATAGTTGATACGCATTATTTATGTGTTCTTTACGAACCCCCTCGTTGATAAATTCATAAGTGACAGACAACCTCCACACTCCTCGACTTTGAATTTTCCTGAACTTTTCTTTTTACTTTCATACGACACGGCTCAAGAAACGTTAAATTATTCCACTGCTTTTTTATTGGTTATCATTCTTCAGACACTTTCTTAAATACAGTAGTACACAGTGTCGATAAAAATTAGTGATACATGCTCCATATCAAATGTAGAATGTGAGGGACATATTTAACTAAAAGTACACACTAAAGATCAGAGGTTACGAGGACAGATTTCCTTTTGTTTTTTAAGCGTTCAGCCTCTCTGAAATATGATTTTATAACACCTGATCTTTTCAACGGTTCAACAGCATTAAGTTTAACATTGTATGGAAGAAATTGGGTATAGAGTCACATTTGTTACGATTCATTAGAAACTGTCGCATTATATATCATTTTATCCGTGAGTGAAGAGTTCTTACTTGTTTAGATGTATCATGTGTGTGTCTTTTAAAGTGTATGTGTAATATGTAAGTGCTTCATAATATTGTTGTATAGCATCAATGCATCTTTGGGTTTTGTCTTCTTGCCGTGCTTCTTGTTATAATTCTTAGCTTCACTGTCAGTTCGGGAGGGCGTGGAACAGATGTTGACGAGGGAAGTGCTCGACGTTGTCAGTCCGCGGTTGATTGCTTGTTCGCATTTCTTCACCAGCCTGATATCCGAAAAGGCGGAGAACGGATCCACGCCTTCCTCCAGAGCGTACTGCACTTCGAGAAGGTCCACGAAGTTGCAGAACTTGGACTTGCTCAGCGCTGGTTGGCGTGGCTGTGGAGCAGCAAGCGGCCTCCCAGCGACCTCCTCATCACACCGATACCGAGCTGAGTAACCGTCCTCGTCCGACCAATCCGAGTCGTTATAGCTGTGGTCTGAGTAGTAGCTGGAACCCGAGCTTGACGCGACACGCCTTACGGGCGGCGGTTCGATAGTGTCCGTCTCGTCCCAAATGTCCGCCAGTTGACGCAAGGCCGCGTCACGAGCACGCTTGGCCCCGATCTGCCATTTCTTGGTGGCTGTCTTACCAACCAGCGTGCTCCCTTTCTCCCTTACCTTCTTCACTCTCATGTGAGCCAACTGACCGAGAGCGCTGAACTGTGTCATGGTCGTTTTGAATATGTTCAACAAAATATCTCGCTGGCGAGTTTTTTCTCTGTACTCCCAAAGTTGCTTCATGTACAAATCATCCGCCATTCCCTCCGATTCATAGATGGTGAAAAACCGGTCCCAGAAAGCGTCCAGGTATCTTTCCCTCTGTATAAGAGGGGTTTGGTAGCCGTGGCCTGGTGCCTGCGTCAGCCTGTGCCACACGTTCAGAACTTTGTTGTCGCAGTAAGTCTCCGAAAGGTCTGTTGGTTTTTCTGTCATGTCATAACCCCAATCCTGGATCAGTTCCTCAACACTGAGGTCGGGCGGCCCAGGATGACAGCGTATGAAGGCGTCCGGGAGATCGGCTCTTTTTTCAGATGGCATGCGACTCTGCGCATCCGTGGATTTCAAACGCTTTAACATAAAAAATAGACATTAAAAAATAGACATTGGAATATGGAACATCTTAATCAAACAGCATTCTTATTTCGACGATATTTTAACAAACCTGTGGCAATTTACATCAGAAACAAAGTATCTTTTACAGTGGCTTTTGAATACGTTACCACGGTTTTATTATTTAGATTTTAGTCATCAACATTGTCTTCTGAAAACTTATTGTAACATATATCACATTTACATTGCACACAGCTCTGACAGACATGTAAAGCACGATTTCTTTTAATAGCTTATTATTATTATTATTATTATTATTATTGAGATAATATGGCATAGGTATACATGTACATATATATATAGTACCTGTTTGTCTCTTGCGGTATCCTTGCGATCATGGCGGGGCAAAATTTCTGGAGTCTTCTCTGAACTAAGAAATTTCTCTGTCTTCTTCTCTGCTGAAATGTTATACATTTGCAAAGTTCGAAATTTCATAAAGAAGTTTCATAAAAATGGAGAGTAAAAAGAAACTACCAATGATTTGTATGTCGTATTTCTTTCGCCAATTGATTTGTTTCTTATCTAACACGAGCGTTTAAAGTTTATTTCAATAAAAAAAGAACAGTGATTGCATGCGACCAAACATCACCTTCAAATTCCTGTTTTCGTTTTATCTCTTCACGCTGACGCACGACAGGCGGCGCTGTTGGCTTTTCTCTTACCGTCCCGGGATGCGAATCTCTCTCGCCTGTTTTGTGATCAACTGACAACGGTAACGTTGGACGGCTGATGAAGTACTCTGACTCTTGCCCCGTAACGCTGGAAATTGTGAAAGAATTTTCCAAAACATTAGACAGTCATATTTATTTTCTTTTCATAGACGCATACGCACAGCTTTTAGCTGAAATAATTTTAACTATACTACATGTACTATTGGTATGTGAGGTAGCAATATTAAAAATCAATCCAAAATAAATCAATTCTTCCCACCTCTTACTCACATAAAACAATCTCATGTTGTCAGCAACCTATGGTTAAAGAAGATGGAGAGATTATCCTGTGACGAGCTTCACCTACATTTGATTAAAATATCAGTTTTCATAGCTAAAAGTTTTTTTTTTAATTGACACTTCTTTATGTCTTACTCAGTCTGATCCTTGCTCGATGATTTTCCTGGTACAAACGGAGACGGCAGGCGACTAGGGGCAACTTCATAGGCTTCCTCGTCGGTTGACGAGCCGTGGTCACTAAAATATAAAAAAAAGTTGGTATTTTACGCGGTGTACACGCAGGAGTCTAGTTCATTTTCAGTGCACAAGCAAAAAAAGTGAAGAGATATGAATTCAACAAGGTAAAATTATTATTATTATTATTATTGTTGTTATTGTTATTGTTATTGTTATTGTTGTTGTTGTTGCTGCTGCTGCTGCTGATGATGATGATGAAAAATCAACACAAAAAAGGAGGAAACGGCAGACACTTGTTAGATCAAACCTTACATTATCTTCTGGTGTCGTCGCAATATGCGAGGTTTACGGCGTCTTCGCCTTGCCGCGCCATCTGTCTCTCCGGGCTTAACTTTCTTGGCGACCTCTGAAGTTCCCGTACCGCGTTCTACATCGGTCGTCACTTTGGTCACTTTCCCGCCGCCCAAGATAGTTTCTGGCTCGTGGGGTGTTTTCTTCACACCGTCTTGGGTCGACTCTTCACCAGAGGCAAGGCAGGGGGTGGCAGGTGGGCTGACGGGGGGTGGAGTCGCAGGCTGGGGCAGTTCTGGGGTGTCCTTTACTGCAGAACTGACTTCGCTGGAGTGAAATTGGTCATGACGGTTGTAGATAGAAATTACATACTGTCAGTGTACATGTATAGTACTAATAGTCAGCAATTTATTTTAGTTAAAACTAACCAGTGAAATCATTAATAAATTAATGTATATTTCTTAATGGATCCACAGTGTTTTTATTCCCTTACTGTATTATTATTATTATTATTATTATTATTATTATTATTATTATTAAAATGAAAAAAGTAAACAATGTCTTAGCCTTAATTACTATGTCTAAGCCTTAATTACCGTCCAAGTATAATAAACGCACATGTTTTCCCTTTGCCTGAACTGTATATTCGGTGGCATCGTGGCCTCATAATCTTTGAGGGTATCGTCAGTTGTCTTTTTAACTGTTGGAGGGATTTCACCACTCTCTGCCTCGACCGCCGCAGTTGCATTTGTCACATGTGGTGAATCCACAGCTTGACTCGGGTAGGGCGAACTCAAACCTTCCACTCTCTTTTCCAAGGACTCCAATTTGTGTTTCAAAGCCATCACTTCCTTGATCAATTTAGCTTGGTCTCTGAGCATATTTTCCACGTTTACTGTACATGTACAGGGATGTGTCGTGGCTGGCTGGGTTGACGGTTCGGTTTTCTTTGCTGATGTCTTCTCACTGAATTCTGCCAACCCTTTTTCATTTCCACGACTCTGCACCGTGGGTTTAACCCGGCCACGAGGTGCTGGAGACTCTGCTTTTGGAGACTCTGTCACGGGGCGAGATTTTTGCTCTTTAGTAGACATATTTACGTTACTGGGATTTCTTCAAACCGTATCCTTTTTCTGAAATTACACAATTTGTGTTTATGAATTTTATTTGTTAATCTATTTATTTGTATATTTGCTTTAAAAGTAAACCCCCCACCCACCTCTCTCTCTCTCTCTCTCTCTCTCTCTCTCTCTCTCTCTCACACACACACACACACACACACACACACGCACACACACTGCATTTAAGTTAGAACTAAACCTTAAAATTGCAAGACCCTTAGATCTAGATCTAGTCTTGATGACTTGATACATGAGATGATATTCCATAGTGCCTTAGTTTTTTCTAAATAATGGTATGAAAAAAATGTCCGCTTACCTGAGTTATTATTGAGCTTAATGGAAACAGCTCTAATCAACCATATAACATACAAAAGCAGCAGAAAGAAGTCAAATGAGATCGCGTCAATGACGGCTTGAGGGAGCGGTTCAACAAAAGTGGATGCACTCATTCCAAGGCGCTGTTATCATGTATTGTTCGTCCATCACCCATGTCTCACTTGTGTCTCACACGATTCTTCACTCTCAAATTTGTTTTTGTCGGTAGCGATTTCCATAACGACAGCGTCTGTGATATTGTGACGTCACAGTTGGTGGCACGCACACCTCGATGTAAGACAACAAGGTAACTTAAATTGTCAACTAGAAGCAACAATGAACCCGCTTATTGTTACTATATCCTGCGATAATGCAACGTCATTTTGTGATATCTATCAATGGAGAGAACAAGGATGTAGATCTATAGAAATGTTTCAGGTTACGTTTTAAAGCTTATTATGTGATTATTATGAGGCACTGTCAGGGATTGGTTTGGGAATTTTTTATAATCTGTGTCATTACCCCGCCCTTACAATGGGCAACTTCAGGACTACTTATTATGGGCAAGAGACAACTGGTAAAAAATCGCCTAAATACTTTATTTTTCACAGAAGGACATATCTCAATCGCTTACTGATATCCGTAGACGAGTTAAGTCGCTGGTGATGCTATAGTTTCTAGAATATCCCGTCCTATAACGCCTTTTCGTAAACAGGTATGGACTTTATCATATACTGTTCATTAATAAAGAATTAAAGAAAGTAAATGAATAAAAAAGGATCATCGGAGAAAGAAAGAAAAACATGATGGATTAATTGGTTATACACGTACGAATAAAGAAGTACGAATAACCCCCCACCACCACCCCCCCCCCACCCCCAACCTTCTTATATTTAGCATTTTACATTGTGAAGTTTATCAGCTATTTACTCCCATTTGACGTGAAATTAAACATCTATTTCTATTAAATTACAACTTGAACATAAAATCCATGATTATCAAGGCCCACAGTGTTACCACCAAAAACAGGAGTTTCATATGTGTCTCAATATACCCGCCAATTTCCAGAAAATTGCTCTACCGAGATTGACTTTGGCAATTTGGCGTTCAAAAAAAAAAAAAAGTCAGTGTAACCCATGTCATGATTAAATGAACACGCGGTTGTTCACGTATACATTTGTTTATTTGTTATGAATCCGAAATGTAATCAGGGGTTACATAACCTCGGCCAAAGGTCAACAAAAAACATTTCCTTCTTTTTATTTCATTCTATTTATTAATTGATTTTATAGATTAATTATTTTATTTGTACTTTATTTATTTCTTTGGGGACGTTTATTATTTTAAAAGGTCGGCAAAACACATTTTATCAACTTTCTCTTTTCACGTTTTTTCTTGTTGTAACTGCATTTTGATCAAAAGCTGTTATGTTTTCATATTATCCAGTCCATTTTACCCACCCCCTCCCCCAAAAAAAAGAAAGAAAAGAAAAGAAAAGAAAAAACACCGCCTTAAAAAGCAACTAATAAGTATTTCAAATACGTTTACTGCATTTAATACTTTTTATGGAAACGCGCACGATAAACGAGCTCCCAGCTGAGAACAAACGACTTAACACGCGTTTTCTCCATTCTGGGATGGGAGGCCGACCGACTTCAACTGGGGAGAGGTAGGTTTACGTTTTTAGGTATCATTTAAATAACTATCGATTCCTTTGTTTTAATGCAATAGAGGAACGTTATTTTTATACCTCTAAAAATAGAAAAACAAACTTCTTTTATAGACCAAATGAAAATAGATAGTCCTCCCTTAGGCGCATCCTTTAGGTTGGGTGTTTTCTTTCACTATTTCTGTATTTTTAAATTATTTCTATTTCCGTGACTCGTGGTTTTACATGAGCAATTCTTTTTATTGTGGTATACAGTATTTGAGCTACCAGCCTTCCGTCTGATTTCCCTTTACTCTGTACTGACCTCACGATTTCGACACTCGTCAATGGACCTCTGCGTCAGCGGTTTGCCAGTCTTGCGTCCGGTTTACGGAGAAAATTTTATTAAGACATATATATGCGTGTCCGGGTTGTAAGGTCTCGATTTCTCATTTATACCACGCATTTTAGATCGAGGGAAGCCAGAACAAAACAGACACTGGACCACTCAACATTACACGATGAGGACGACGTCGGAGTTAAAATGTTTAGAAATAATACTCTTAGGGCTTTTATCTTTGACGGCGTTTGTAACAGGTAAGTGTGATTGCTCTCTTTTGTTTCTCATACAGCAGTATTCAAAGTAGGCCTAAATGGTTTTTGAAGTCATTACTTTCAGTTCTCATAGGCATGTCTCTTCTCTGATTTAACTAAAATTTCTTCAAGTTTCTCTGGCATTTTCAAGTCGACAAATTATGCATAGAATTGTTAAAGAATTTAAGGCGAGAGGACATAATCTTTTTGTGCTTCATCTGTTTATGTCCTTCTATTCGAAACTCCTTCACTCAGTGACTGAAGTGCCTCGTAATTTACGCGAATGTCATCACTTGTTTGAATATTTGTATTTTATTTGTTTAGGGCTCTAATGCCCTGTTTAGAAAAAACTTAAACCTGGTTCCTTTCACTGATACTAGACAGCTTAAATTAGATCAAATTACCCTCATCCCTCATCCTGCTCTCCTCACATGTGACCCAGTGTCTCCACCATTCCACCACCTCCGAGGGGGTAGGGTGCCGTTGTGTTAGTCAGATAAGTTGGAGTTCATTCAGAAATTTCACCGGCTGGTGGTGGGGGGGGGAGGGTCGGCTGTCCTGCAGTCGTTTCCAAGCCAAACCCCGGGTTTAACAACGCTAAAGGTCACCAACTACAAAACCTACATGACTGGTGACAGGAATGTTTCCAATAGACTCTGAAACTCTACATGTCGGGATAGATTTAAAGTTATCTGTACATGTAGTTGGGTCGATTTTGAGGCATGCTTAACCTCTGCAGTTTCAGTTTTGGGGACACCACCCCCTTATTATACAATATTAAGTAATATTGTATATAGTACTATATAACGGCTGTGACGTCATCTTTTACCAGGAAGTGACTCTCTATCCCGGGAGTAGATAAAACATGCTTGACCTTACAGCCGACCTTAGCTTGAATGTGTGACTAGAACCCGGATGTACCGGGGTGCACTGACAACTATTTAATACATTTATATTAGTAGGTACATGTTATACCCAAATGATATAAATCCTGCCATATAACACCTTGGTTCACCGGTGACTCATCAGTATATAGGTCTGTCATAAACAAGCTGAGGTTGTATTTAAATCAGTAAAAATGTATCGATGAATTTGAAAACCGTGGAAAGGAGATGTCCAACCATGAAACTTCAATTCTGTTTAAAATGTGCAGGAATGCATGGCGGTCTGTGTGACATGCCAGTCATTTAAAACCCATAATATAGTTATATAGAAACAGTATAAAGCATCGAATCCAATTGCAGAGATTAGTCGAGCAATGATTCGTGAGTAATGGAAGAAAAATTCTATTGGCAGGCAAAATTCCGGTTACCTCCTAAACGATACTTTCAAGTGGGATTGTGCTACCTCTGACTTATCAGGCCCTATTGGCAAATATCACGGTCCTCAAATTGCAACGCTAATATATATCAGAGGCTTAATGAAGTCAAATCACATTCTTTGCTCACATGTACAACTATTACATTCAAAAATTGCAACACGTTTCACAAGCTTGCTTTTTCTAACACGATTGTTGCTCCTACAGCAGAATCAAATCCTCTCCTTTAATTTTACTTACCAACATTGATGATAGTATTCAGAAGACATAAATTTTCGTTCCTAATTCCCCAGCATGCGGCAGGTGTGGGGTAAGACCGAGCACGAGCAGATCCAAGATAATAGGCGGGTCAGCGGCCACGCCCAACTCTTGGCCATGGATGGCCTATTTAGAGCTCGGGGCGGCCCGGGACAGGTGTAAACCTTCATGTGGAGGGACCATCATTGCTAGACAGTGGATACTGACTGCAGCTCACTGCCTGTACTCTCCGTGAGTATGCGAGAATCTCGTTCATGTCAAACACGTGCCTAATTAAAACTATACATGTATGTGCTAAGTGAGTCAAAATGTGATATAATTTACATTAAATATAATGAGATTGTCTTATTATTTGTTATTATTTGTTTGTTTGTTTGCAGACATGTCTTTTTTTTTTCAGACATCTGTCTGCTGTTTGTGTCATTTTCTCAGTTAATCTTTCTGCCATCTGTTTACCAAATGTTCCTGTTTATGTGTTCTGTGCTCACAAATATGCTTTTTTCATCTGTCATTCTCTTATTTATTGTTTAAACAGCCAGCAGATAGGATGTGGCTCTTCTCGACAATACAAACCTAACGAAATCAAAGTATACCTCGGGGTAGACAAACTATCAACCTTACGTAGAGATCCCGCCGTTCTAAAGATGACCGTGACCAAGGTCCACATCCACCCTGGTTACAACCGTGGCACACACGACAATGACATCGCTCTGCTGAAGCTTTCGTCCAAGGTGAATTACAACTCAAAGATCAGTCCTATTTGCCCAGTGGGACCGTCTCCCAGTGATGTCATTCCCGAAGAGACCCCCTGCGCGGTGACGGGCTGGGGGAAAACAAATACAGGTGAGAGAACAGAACACTGTAACGCGTAAGAAAATCTGTCACTGTCACTCTCTCTCTCTCTCTCTCTCTCGCTGGTTATATGATATGTTTCTACAAACGTATTTATTTATACAGTCTCTCTCTCTCTCTCTCTCGCTGGTATATTTGATATGTTTCTACAAACGTATTTACCTGTATGCTACGTAAAAGTACCAAGATGTTTAATTACTTTTCAGCCTCTAGGCTTCCCAGTGACGTACTGATGCAGGTCACAGTAAAATATATAACAGCTAAAACCTGTCGAAAAATCTCGCAATATCCCGCTGGGGAGATCACAGATAACATGGTGTGTGCGAAAGATACGGGCAAAGATTCCTGTCAGGTAAGGATACTACTGTAAAGCATTTAATTTTTTTCAAAAGAAAATATTAAAATTAAAACGGACACTCACACACAAGTGATGTGAACTCCGTTCTTTATCTTGTTTTAGTTATTTATTTTTTAAAATTTAATTTTACATATTCTATACAACTGTATTTCTACGTTTTTATATCCCACTATTATCTAAATAAATCAGAATGTATTCCCTGATATCGGAAATCTTCGTATAAATTTCTTGTTTTATATTGTTATTATTATTATCATTATTTGCTTTTTAACTACTCGCAGAATTTACATAAGAAAAATGAACGTTGCCATCATTTGTTTAATATTTATGCCAAGGAAGCAATTAAGACTGCCTGTACAAGTCTAACCTTATACTTTTTATGCGATTTCGTATTCCATTAGTTAAGTATACCAACAGACAAAACATGAGCATTTATCAATCTGCGTTTTTATCACTAGCCATTCATAAATAATTTTACGCACTGCTTTCATTCCCATTTGTTTTTTATGTGATACTGATTCATCCATTTAATAGGGAGATTCTGGCGGTCCGCTAGCCTGCCCGTACACAGTGAACGGGAAAACGATCTGGAAGCAGCTTGGCATCGTCAGCTTTGGGCGAGGGTGTGCGTTGCCACAGTATCCGGGGGTGTACACCGACGTCAATAAGCTATCCAGGTGGATTGCCAGGACCATCTGTAAGTGATATTATGACATAGTGGATACTGTAAATGACGGAATAGAAGTAGAAAGATACGGTGAAAATATATCGAACGGCGGTTCTGGAGGAGTGCCCAAGCCTCCCCCCCTCCCCCCCGTCTTCGTCCCTTCTCAATCCCAAATAAACAGTATAATCACCATTCATGTCTGATGTATATTAAATTAACATTGTTCAGCCTTTTTTTAAACAAATACATGACCCAATCCCACCTGGTTAGCAGAATCATGGATTCATCTTACATGTACATTGAACTTCTTTTATATTAGAAGTGCCGCATACATACACAGTGGTAACCTTTCTTCGACTCGCAATCGGCACCGGCGGAACTCAGAATCAGACAAAAATACGTTTAGTTGATTGTCTTATTTATTTTTTATATTTTTATATATTAATTTATTAATTTTTTTTTCTTTTTACTTTTTTAATTTCTTTGTATGGTGGTAAATTTGTCTGAAAATACGTTTCACTGATAATGTGGGTCTTCTTTTTCAGTACTGGGTCCCTGAAATCAACGGAGCCAAACGATTACCAAAGACATATTTTAACATTTACATGTACTCAAAAGTCTACACCAAGTACTGGAGATACAGAGAACTGGACAATGAAGCCAACGGATCACCAAAGACAGAGAGGACTGGACTCAATCTGATAAAGCCGACCTTTTCATGACTTCGTGAAAATAAACTTGCTGTCTTCCCCCATCCTCTACCAGGGCCACCAATTGCTTTTTTTACTAAATATCCACAGGTATAATATACCTTGGCAAATTAATGACACAATTCTCTCGATCTGCTGTGAAAACAGCAGAAAATTGTGTCTTAAATTAGCCAGAGAAGCAACAGATACTTTTGTCATGAATTAGACAGAGTCATATCTGTGAATATTTACCAGTAGTGAAAAAACAATCTGAGGTCTTGGCGGAGGGTAGGCATGTTGTCTTCACCGGGTTATTCAACCCGCTGGGTATTATAGCATCCCTATGTGTTAATTTAGTTATGATTGTGGTAATCATGTTATTCATGATAAATAATTCCTCGAAGTAGTATTAGTCATTTCCTTTTGTAGAAATATTTAAACCTATATATATCTTATTCCTACATGTGCATAAATATAGTATACCTGTCTGTTCAAAGCAGTTCGTTTTCAGTGTATATGAATTTAGTTTTTATGGTGGTAATATTATTAAAAATATTTTAAAATATTATAACATGATTTATAATACATTATAATTTAAAATATTATAAAATTATTCATTAAACAAATCCAAACATATACGTTTCTGGGTCACGTTTATGGTTGGTGAGATAAAAGTGCACCGAATTTCAAATTTTAATTCCCTGCAGACGTTTTCGTTGCACACGTGTACTGCGTCTCATAAGTCACTACGTCGGCTCGGAGGTTTTCGTGCCCTTCCGTGTTCTTCCGTGTCCCCTCCGTGTTAAAATCAATGTTCAAAACACAAAGCCGGATCTCAGCGTCTCACTACCACCTGGATGTTGACCTAATTCTTTAAATTGACTGTATATACGCATGATGTGGCAAAAATACGTACAAACACTCGTGAGGACATAAGTTCTATTGTACATGTGTTTTGTTCCTGGATTTATAATCCCTGAATTACTATCTGCCAGAGGTGCGCCCTTATCGCTGGGGCTATAGTCTGTAAAACATAAGACGGGCATCTCTATTCTGGCACGTTTTAAAAACTTTTATTTATTCATTTATTTATTAATTTATTTATTTCATAATTTCTATGTTATTTTCATAGAAATGGCAATTATTTTACTTTTTGATTCTGTCTGCGTAAGACTAATGATTTATTTATATCTAAGCATTTCATATATGGCTTTAGTGTGCGTGCGTACGTGCACGCGTGCGCACGTGCGTGTGTGCGTGGAGGGAGAGGGAGGAGTAGTCCTACGACCCACTAAAAGTGAGATCCACCTGCATAAGACACTATCATACAGACATATAAAACAATGAACATTAAAGCCCACAATATTTGCTTTTATTATAAATCATAATAATTATCACAATGCATGCAAATCCATACATGTATATATCTGCACTAACTTGTCACTGCAGCCAGTTATAGAACAGCGTGGTATATATAGGCCCACCAGAATACAAATAACAATCAGCATTTATGTATGTAGATTCGTCTCGTTTACGGATGCGGAATGACATCAGTGCATATTAATCATATTCAAATATAATGTAGAAGTATCTCAGTTTTAGTTTCCTCCTTAATCATCTTTTTATGTGTATCACTGCCAATATACTGGAGAGATAACATTTCTATACAACAGTCACAGGGGATCTATCGACACAATATTGAACTGAATTGCGATAGTTGAGACCTCAAAGTACTATATCATATATCTCAACTAACACAGCCTTTTTTGCGTTACAGCCAACGGCATTACCACTAATGAACGTCCATAAGAAGTGCAGTTACTTAATTAATAACTTTCTCGCCTAGGAATTTATTGTTTTGAAAATTTACAAAAGCAATGAATAATTCAAATTCACCATCGTCGCAGTATTCAGATACAAGTATTTTCTAATAATTGTGCTGACTATTCAACTTCCTGTCACCCAAAAACCCCGTTACCTATAGAGATATTACTTTAACACACAAGATTAACTTTATTCATAAAGTGCCTCTTAGTAATTTAGTAGCTTAGTAACAACTAATTAATGATGACTAAAACTTTCTAGATAACGGAGGCGAGTGAGTCTTAAATGGGGACATTCACTGTAACGATTTCACTCAAAATTTAATTTGAATTAAGAAACAACTGTGATATAAAATATTCAGAAGTTTGGTCTGGGGTTGTCCTATGGCGCAACCTCGCTGAATTATGCAATTTGCTTTGAACCTGTGTAGAATGTAAAAAACAGAAGTCACTAATTGGTTGCCAATGCTGATGTCTACGAGTTAACAACATCGCAGAGAGAGATCAAAGTAAAAAAGAGCATTCGCAAGCGACTGATAAGATTCATAGCTGTTGACGTATGTGTTGAGACATTACTTTCAAATGACGACTTTTTATCTGAAGTTCGAGTTTTAGTAAATAAAAAGCGTCTAAGATTCATGCAATCTCATTCTCAAAACTAGGCCAAAAATTCTATAGTACTCTTTGAAAATGTGTTATTGGTGATACTTTATGTTGATGCCATGTAAGTATAGTAATACTTATCAAGAAGCAATCGGTCAGCTGGTATACCACACTGCTTTTCACAATCAGCCGGTGTAACGCGAGTCCCCCTTGATAGAGAGTCCGCTTCCCATTTATTTGTACAGGTAAGCCTCGCGCTAGATCTTGACCCATTTAAGTCAGGCTAACCCTAACCATTATATCTAAATGGAGGGCGGACTTTCTGTTACACTGACCCTCAGTTTCGTTACACCGATTCTTGCTAATATCCGAACTTACAGTCGACTGAACTCCCATTATACCTCGTAAATATTGAAGACTGTTAAAGATAAGCCACAGAACGGAACTGTTACAGTGAAGACATCGTCACACTTCTTTAAAAGCTTTCAAGAAGGTCGAACATCGACAATCATTGGTGTCTTCTTAACGAGATTTGACGTGCTGTATATTATTAGCACTATCTTTGACAGCTTAACGGGAATCCGCATTGAAAACGGTGTAGACTGCACTTTGTCAGTCACTTTCAATATTTTGCACACGGATTCGTTAAAAGTTTCTTAAAAGCTTTCCGGAACTCCATATTGAAGACGGTGTAGATGACGGGATTCATGAAGCTGTTGACGTAGCCAAGCCACGTGAAAAGGGAAAACAACAAGCCATCGATGCTATTACACACTGAGGCATGCTCCTTCAACTCGTACCGGATACAGATGGCGTTGATGATATTGACGGTGAAGAAAGGCACCCAGCAAAATAAAAACACACCTGAAAAATTAAATAACGGGGATTTATTACAATTTTAATTAATCTGACGAGCATTTAGGTGGCGACAAAGCACAAAAGTTCTAGGTACAGAGTATGATTTATGGTAAGGCGGATTGTTTGGGTTTAATCATTTATTAATGTAATTATTTATGGATGTTTCTTGGATGCTGATACTTTCTTATTGAGACTTGCCTCATACAGTACTGATCGTTGTATTATTACTTCGTATGTCCAACATAAGGTTAATTTCTTTCTCTAACAGTGAGGTTGATTTCACTTAGTAGGCCTACCGGTAGTTTAATGAGCTATATTTAAATTCACGACAGCAATTTACCCACCTAACACAATAGCCAATGTCTTTGTTGCCTTCTTTTCTTTAGAGCCTTCCCGCTTCGTCTTACGCCTCGTAAGAGGGAAAGTCACTTTTATATGGGGTCGCAACCCTTGTTTTTTCCCATGGCCATTCCCTGGATGCGTATCGCCAATGACAGATCCGTTTCTACACAGTAACTTGTTTTTAGCTGTTTGAAAGAATTTTAGCCGGTTTGTATCGGGTGAGTTGGGTATGGACTCACTGTCAGAAGCAGATATTTGTACCATGTTACTGTTTGTGGTTTTTCCGTTCTGATGCGGGTTTTTGTTGTTCGAGTCAATAAGAGCGGTTTCTGCGGTACTGTTCGCAATCACGTGACTTCCGTCGTTTGCTGCCATGGTCCTGTGAACGTCTTCCATGCGAACCCACACGTCTTCTTCGTCAGACGCAGGGGCAAGCATCGTGGTTACAGTACAAGAAGTCGTTTTCAAATTTTCCAGTTCCACCCGGGTGTCTAACTTCAGTTGATCTTGTTTTAAAGGCTTTTTCTCATCTGATGAGTCATCTTGTTGTGCGGGGTTCTCAATTACGTTAGCACGGGTCATCTTTTTGGCTTTTTTACCCCGCTGTCGAATGGCCCTGAATATTCTCCAGTATAAGAAAACCATGATAATACAAGGTATATAGAAAGACCCCATGGACGACCATATTAGGAAGTCGGAGTTGTAAAACCTGCATTCGTGTGGCCCGCGCTGAGGCGAATAGTTTTGACCCAATGCAATGGGCAACGCTATGGCCACCGATATTACCCAAACAAGAGCCAGCGTCACATAAACCCTCTTAGAATTTTTATGCTTGGCATATTTGATAGGCTGTGTCACAGCTATAAACCTGAAAATAAAATCAGGATTAATTCATATTTCTTATTTTAAATTAAACAAGAGATACTTTTTTAATATGCCACATTAAAAAAAAAACGAGGCTGCATTAAAAAACAGTTTAATGGCGTCATTTAAAATGGCCTCCATATCATATGTATCATTAAAAAGTGATTTTTTTTCTTCTCCAATGTTGGAATAAATTTCCCTAGCACAAACGCACCGACACTTCTCATTTTCCATTTTTACGTATGCAAAATCAATAAAACGACATTCCTTTTTTTAACTGAAGTACTTGGTAAAAGATTATCGCAAAACACAGGTGAATATGAACACTTAAGCAGCAATGCGACTGCTGAAGGATCTGTAAAATGACTCTGAAAGCCTTACCTGTCTACACTGATAGCCACAAGGTTCAAGATGGAAGCCGTAGAGAACATGACGTCAAACGACACCCAGGCGTCACAGAGAATATCGCTCAGCATCCACAGTCCCCGCACCTGGAGGTAAATTTTATGGGTTAGTGTTTTTTTTAGGAATCACATGTAATAATCCGAGATGAAATATTTGTGATATATAGCTATTATGTGGCATTGCCCACTCCTTCATAAACATCATGATTCGGTGTTTGGAAGTGCGTAGTAGTAAATGTATACGTAAAGGGTTTTTTTTTTTTTTTTTTTTTTTTTTTTTTTTTTTTTACATTTCAGTTTGTGGTGGTTATTTCCGTGAAATATAAGATTCCAACATTCTTTTCAAATAATGCGTTGTCTAAAGATTTTTATCATTTGTTAGTGTTGTCATTTCAGGTAAATGTTTTTGTGACTCGATAACCCGGCCTTCACAATCCTTTCTACGCATATTGTAATCATAAGGGTGAAGCGACCCTCTGTGGTCTATCCATACATCATATTACATACATAATGGCATTATTTTAAAACACGCACCCTGTCAGCGTGCGTTATAATTTACAACACGCCCCCTATCGATGTGCGTTATGAGTGACACATTGCAGACCGTACTCTAGAAGTAAATCAAAACAGAATGCTGTAGTGCCATCAGCAAAATGAACGCAGTGAGCTAATTTAGTGACTCGGTTACTCTAACAATTGACGTATGAGTAACAAAACACAAGCGCCTTTTATTTTTTAATCAGCAATTAATGCAATGACCAATAGGGGTGTGGAAATTGTGCAGATATTTTGAAAATGTTTATTGTATATACTGGGTATAACATAGATACTTGGTTATGTCAATGGTTAATTAATCAAAGAAAATATTAGAAGAAACAACACAGTGGCGTGGAAAAAAAAACAAATCACGACCGATTTGCAAAAATAAAATTTTGAGACGTTCCAAAAGTTGAACAGGAGAAGTAATGAAAGTATGCAGTGTACAGTCGATGCAAAAATAAGGTCTAGCTGTTCACAAGAATATATACATGTATAAAAAGATTTAAGACGAAATATTTCTCTTGAATCAAAGATGGACATTCCACGAAACGGTGCCAAAAGCGAGGGGCCATCACGACTACATGCAGATGCAAATGTGCCCTCAAAGACGAAACCCGTCTTTCAGAAACGCAGCCATCATACATTACTATTACCACTTGCACCATATCATGTGAACATAACACCATGCCTTCATTAACTTCTGTTTAACGATTCCATCATGTGACTCCAAGTGTTATCGGCTCACGAAAAAGAGTGATACAAGTAATAGGTTTATGACATGATTAATGAGACAAATGACTTCCTGTTCGTTAAAATGCAATTAAATACTTTTCACAGCAATTATCACGTTGAAATAATGGGCACGACTAATACATGGCCAATGGACATGGAACCACCACATCTAAATGACTTAATGCTTTTTTGTTGTTTTCAAAAACTATTGCCACATTTTATGTGTTTGAATATTATACTAATAACGACGGAGCAGTCTTATACATGTATTTCCAATGCCACAACTCGATGTTCATCAAAACATCAAGCAAAAAAATACAGTGATTCTTCAAGTTCAACAGACGTCACTCTGACTAAGCCTAAAGTCACTCTGACGCAGCGGCTTCAACATGCTGGAAAAACCGGGCGATTACTTCGCGTGCCATTAGGAGATCAAGCCACGGGCGGGAAGACTGATCGGTTACCGCAGCTTAATTAGGTCATTCATATCCTGCAGGTACCTTTTTCCGACATAACGGAGTATTATTAACAGCCTAAGCCGTGCACGGTTTTGTCGATACGATGAGTGACGTATACGTACTGTTAGAAAAAATGATCGGAGGGCAGTAATGTTTTAATGAGCCTTTTGCGTGACGCGATCTTCGTTAAAATGCAGCATTGGGATGTTCAGTTATATTTACCCCACTAACGCGTAAATACTTGATGTTGTGTAGCTGTATTGTTATGCCACGGAGCACGTGTATTCTTTGATTATAAAGTTTCAGCACAGAGAAATAATCGCATATCGTGTCTATCAGAAAGAAAGATTACGGGGGGGTGGGGTGAAACATTTTCAAATCAGTTTTTTACTGCACAAAGGATCTTTTGCGTTTCATCTTTTTAAATATTTCCATTGTAAGCTGTACCCCGGTAATTGCATAATTTGCCTATACGAATGTCACAAATGTTGTAGTTTTTGCAGTATTCAAAGGAATATGGCGCTTTATTTATTTAAAATGATTCAAGGCGTTTAATCAAAATCTGTGGAGTTTTACAAGAAAAATGCTGCATATCTACATATATACTTATATAGGGGTATCTTATTTAGGGGAAGGGTGTGTCTGTGGTCGCACGTTTTGCATTATTAAAAGCATTCATCACTCTAACCACGGTTTTTGTAACACCGTATCACACACATGTATACAAATACATTTTATACCTGGTTTCATTTGGACACATCTGTGGACAGGAATAACAACCTTGATAGTTCATGAATCCTGTATATATACTGTAGATAATGAATGATGATACTACCGTTATCTTTAGGCTTAGAAATTATCAGGTATAAGCCAGTTAATGCCCGTCATAAGTGATCCGTTAGAGCCATTAACTTTGTCACATTAAAGGTCATTCTACTTTTATCTATCCTGAGTTCTTTTGTACTTTCTTTGGTTCTGTATACGCACGCCCTCTGTCGTTAATTTTAATAAATAAAAAAATTAAAATTATAGCGGCCCAAACAATGTACTTTAGTATTAAAAAGTTAGAAATGCTAGGATGTCATCTAGAACCCTCCATCAACCCTCCTTTGGTTTATCTGTTTCGTGCATTTCTCTCCTTAAGGTATGAATACGTACTTCTATTTATAAAACAACGTATTTAAGGGAGCATGCTACGTTTTAGGACAGAAGCACTTTGATAATATTCTCTGACATCACAAAGGGCATTTTCGAATCTAAAAATGTTTGAAGCAGATGAAACGTGGGTGATGAAGACATACCCATCAGAAGACAGTCCATAGGTCACAGGATAATTACTCTCTCATAATACATGTAAATGCTACCGGTAGATTAATGTACTGAAAATGTACAGTGGAATTTCTAACAAAAGATATTCGTTCTTATTTGACGATATTCTGCACACTACTCCCACATTCTATAACCAATTCTGAACTTCTAGCACATGCAGTTGTTGACTCAATATATCGACAAGCTTCCGTGCGGCATTCAATACTAAATGTCAGTCTTAACACACGATCAGGTGTTGGCCCTCTCTCTTCTTTATATCAACAGGGTGTATAAGGTCATAAACAAGAGAGCAGCATCTCCGGTAAGTACAATGAGTATGTTAGATAATGATGGTATCTTATTTGCATTCTATTTTCGCGCGCACGCAAAACAGAGATATTGCTAAAAAGAAACCGATATGGCAACACAAATTAACAGTGCAATACAATTTCAGACAAAATGACCACACACTTCGCTTTTGCTTATTAAAAGCACCACTGGTTCAAAATGTTTCATCTATTGATCTTAATATCATTGGCTTAAGGCACTGTTCACTTCATCAGTCCTTCACCTGACCAAAGACTGACCTTGCTGCTTTTAATTACGACAATCGCATCTTAATTAAATCCTAGACAAACAGCAGTTCTTGAAGTAATTGGTATCCAAGGCTGCAGCTTCTGTGTATTGAAAGGAGAGTCTCAAACGTCGCACATCTGATTGGTTTTAATTGCCATCTCTGCCAGGTGGGAAATAAAAGGCAGACAAACGAGCAGATTAAATCCATGCTCGCTTACCTTCCTTTTATTCGTGAACAAAATAAACCTCCTGTGTCATGTGATGCATTGATGATTGGTGTTTTATTGCATTGGGCTATTAATCTGTTTGTTTGTTTGTTTGTTTGTTTGTTTTCTTTCATTTGTTTTATCCAGATATCCCCAAAGTAACTGCAGCTATGTTAACATATCCGTTATCTGATTTGATCTGCAATCCATTGATCTTCTTTCTATATTGCCAACTATGAGTTACCTACCGCATAGAACAGCGCTGCCAGAACTACAGGTACAGGTACTTGTATGTGTTTATTTTGTTTGTACTGCGAGGGCCGTTCATTAACACATTTTACACGTGTGTGTGTATTCTAAATTATCACGCGTGGGTGTGCGACCACTGCCGAGACTGAAACAGTTGCTAAATTGACTCCTATTTGTTGCTACTATCTTTTACACAAAACATGCCATAATATAAACAATTCGCGTCAAAACAGGAATTAATAAACTGGTGCACACAGACAGCTGTGCGTGGGTGAGTATTCAATTATCAAAACCAACAAGAAGGTTCATCAGGTAAAACCCTCCAGGTGTGCCGCGGTTATCATAACATTTGTACTACGTGGATGCCCTAAATGTTAGCGATTCCCGTAAGGGACTTGTTCGTTTTCCCAGAAAGTGGTAAACATTTATTTTTGGCCGAGGTGACCCAATGACCGCGAGTTAACCGTCCACAGGTCAGCTGTTCAAACTTTTCCTAACAGGATTCATGATTAGTGACTTTATTTCTGAATGTTGCTACCTATCTGTTATTTTAATATGGCTTGGTGATGGATGTGTTTGCAAGGATTTCATGCACACTGGTATATCTTATAACAGGATGTTCATGACGAGAGCTGTGTGTGTGTGTGTGTGTGTGTGTGTGTGTGTGTCTGTGTGTGTGTGTGTGTGTGTGTGTGTGTGTGTATGTGAGAGAGAGAGAGAGAGAAAGAGAGAGAGAGAGAGAGGGGTAATGCTGACAGATAGAAAAATACAAGGCTGTATGACAATTCATTTCTAAAGCCCTAGGAGAAACCATATACATTCTATGTATACTTCCAATCAATTTACAGATAGCTGCCAGTGTCTCCGTCACCAGACTTTATCCCACTCCATCACAGAACTCATTTGCTGACTTCAGTATCTGGCATGCAATTTTCAAATTAGAACATTAAAGAAACATTTGCCCGTTGATTGTTATTTTTATAAAGATCCAAACGCGCCTTTATCCACTCCATCAAGT